CGCTCATCCTTTTCTTTCCGTGTAGTGCTTAATGGCGATGCACATAATAAAAAATGTGATGTGTACACCACATGACTTCCTTGTACGGAATATTAAATTTACATTTCGTTTAAACTTATTGGATTGAATTAAATCTACTTCGCCGACAGCGCATAAACCACAATAGAATAAATGCATTCTTTAAAATTCACTCTATTTCTTTACCACAGCGACACTCTGGCGCTAGGTTCACTTAACAGTATTATATTTCGTTCATATTATAACTTAGAATGCGCAAATTTATATCATTTAAAGAATTATCTAATCGTTGTCCCATGTTCTGTTCAAATACTATAATAAAGCTAGAACGATGCAAGGTTCTTTAATATTAAAGGTTAGGCCAGGAACGGAAAAAGTGTGCCATGGGTTGATGGTAGTGACGTCACCCGGGTGACAAGACACATGGATTGCCGCGTCTGCTACATAATTTTGGTAATGGAAAAAATGTAAAGTATCATTTTATATATGGTAGTTATAATAACATAACGGAAATACCGGGTATATACATTCTGATTAAGCATTTTGTTAAAGCAAATATTTATTTTATGCACAGAATTCGTACGAATGCTAAAAATAATAGTAAACATTACATCCTTTTCTTAAAGGAAAGCATTAGAAAATGAAAAACGATATTTAACTTAATTAAGGGAAATAAATGTGGTAAAACAAGGTATTTTTCAATATTTTTTGTTGTATTGTCTGAATTAAATAAATCTTGTTTAATAGAAAATATGAAGGCATAACTGCTAAACCATGGTAATAACATAACTGCTAAACCATGGTAATAACATTTTTTGTTGTATTATCTCAATTAAATAAATCTTGTTTAATAGAACACATGAAGGCATTACTGCTAAACCATGGTAATAACATAATCAAAAAGTATTTTCCTATTTATATTCATTACTCATGCATTTTTTAAATACAAATGAACTTTGACATTCCATCAGAAATATATGATCGTGATTTTCAGTTTAAATTACGTAACTCAAGCAAAAATATATATAAAAGATTTAACTTAACAAATTCATATTTTAAATACCATAAAATTCTACAAATTTCTTAATATCCGTCATTATACTTTTAAATAGTATACTTATCACATTCTTTTTAAAGTGACAAGTCACTTCATACTGATTCACTTCAGATTTTTAGCAGAAGTGCATATATTTTCAGTATAATCTAAAAGTACTCTTATAATCCCTTACACTCCCAAGATTTCTATATAACATTTATCCTGACGTGATTATTTGCTATAGTAAATAATCTTCGATTTTCACGCCCTATTCTTCCTCCATACATTAAAAATGGAACAATTAAAATACATTTCTTACACATATAAATGCACAATAATAAAACTAATAAACTTGCCCTACATCTTAATTTCAATTCAGCCTGTATTCAAATTAAATATTTTTAATTACTAATGTATTTTTATCAGGTTGTTTCTTAAAATACTTTTGTTATACTCGAAATATGTGTTCAATATTGAATTATTTTTCTTTCTCTTATAATTAAAAACAAGTTATATGGAATCAAAATTAAAACATATGCAGCAGTTAAATAACACTGAACAGAATATCTTACTTACTCTTTCGCTATTTGTATTCTAGCATTATACACAGATTTGTTTTCCTTCAGGTTCAAGCATGTGTAAGTCACTTAGTTATATCAATTAAATTACATCACACATACCTGCATCAGTTAAATAACACTGAAGGAAATATGTCACTCACTCATTCGATGTTTGCATCATAGTGTGGTCGAGAAATTGTTCTTTCCTCACGGTGAGGCATGTATCAGTTTACTTAGTTCGCAAAGCTTAACCCAGACGCTGCTTCAATACATAGAATTACGTTTGGGATGTAAAGAAAGTAACCAAAACATGTGAATGAAGTTGGATACGCGAATTTATTAACTAATCATTCAGGTACTCAGTATTGGTAAACATGACACTGAGTTTAAATATCTCACTACGATGTAAGTCTCATACACAAATGAAGTTATGATAAAAAATTATTAAAATGAGAAATTTTTCAATTTTAAATGCAAAATAAATGTAAAATTACATCACAGTTACATATGGGAACTACATAAATTCATTAAAAAAATAGTCAGTTATTTTATCTGGTTGTAAAGAGTGTTTTCCGTCAAAAACGTATTGGCGTGTATAATTCTGACACAACGCTATAGCACAATTTGCCACTTCCGACTAGGTATAATAGCAAATTAACAACACAAATCAAATCAAACTGTTGATGCAACGAATGTAAACAAACGCCAAGAAGTAGCGACTGTCACTCATGGACCTTATAAGAGACCTTTTCTTATAAGGTCCATGCTGTTACCCATCGACCTTATAAGAGATAGACTAAGAGATAGACTTATAAGAGATAGACTAGACCCAGTGGGGGGGGCGCGCGTCACCGACATGTCGGCAAGAAAGAGTAGGGACGATCTGGTTTACTTTAACACTGAGTTTCAGTGTTAAAGTATTATGCAAAATCTCAGAAATTTTTGGTAAACAAATTATGAAACGAGGTCATAGGTGAAGAAACAGTCAGTGAAGAGACAGGCGGAAGCCCGTCCTTCACCCTTGAACTCCCAGCAGCAAAGAGAAAGAAACCGGTCCAACAACTGCCACCAAGGGCTTGGACGAAACGATGACGATTCTTGAAGCGATAGTTTGATGATAGATGCCGGCTTGCTAGCACAATTAGTTATTTTAATAATTCATAAATTTCGGAGCATAAAATTTTCTGAGCGTAATGAAGGAAAAAAAAAAGATAAAATAAAATCTAGAAGCACTCTTTTTTTAAAGTTTTGTGTGTTACCTATATTTATTGAATATCATGTTCTTCGCCCGTAAACCACATACACTTGAAAACAGCATATCCGTACAGTGCTCGCTCTGAACTCGCTGAGTTTGTTAATCAAAAATTCGTTAAAATTTTACAAAATGTGAAATAGATTAAAAAAAAATTCGAAATTCGGCCGTCCAGATGCCTATGTTCGGGTGGAGGATTACATTATTCAAAATTCGATGGCTCTAGATACTGTCGTTTTTGTCACAGTGCGAGAAACATACATGTATTCATGCATGGGCTAATAAATTAAATTAACAATAAATAAAAAAAATCTTATGCAGAACTAAAAATAAATTAAAAAAAAATAATCATTATAAAATACAAGCAAAATTAATTATTACGGTTAAATACAATTTTAATATTAGAATTAAATGTATAAAAATTATTAAGGAGTCAAAAGTGTTTATCACTATGATGTATTATGAAATAGTATAATTGAAATAAAATTCCCTTATAGAAATTGTGCTATAAGACTCATCTATAATTTTAAAAAAGGAGCACAATTTAGAATTTTAAACAAAACTTTCAAAAATTCGTTTTTAAATATTTTAATATTTTTTACTTATTTACACCCCCCACCAAAAAAAAAGCATAAAAATTGCAAGAGAAAATTGCTTGTTTGAAATTTTCTATTAGTTAGATTTGAAACATTATTTTCTAAAAGAAGTAGTTACAAATTTCCTTACAGCATAGGAAAAGCTAAAAAAATATCCAGTCCTGAAAGCATGCAATAACTTTATAATTATTTGGAATGTTAATTATGCTCCATAAATATGCTACATTTTTAAAAATCAATCTCAATTTCAAAAATAAAAACATGTAGAAATTCTAATTTGTGAAATGAGGCGCTACAACCAGCTTTTTCTTGACAATTATACACGCTGCAATAGGCAATCAATATAAATTTCTGGAAGTCGTCCCTACTCCTCCGGATGTGATGAAGCTGACAGCCGGCAACGCCTCAGACAAGGGAGAAAACCCGTTTGGGTTAGTCTATTTCTTATAAGGTCCATGCTGTTACCCACATGACGTCATGCGCATGTGGCATAATTTTCTCTCTGCACTACGCATCGCTCATGGGCCACTCCTGAGAACGATGTATAAAAGAAATTAAGCAAACAAAACAAAAAAGAAACAGTTTTTCACAGACGATTGAGTATTTCTCATTCAATTAATTCAGTTCTCACTTCACGACAAGGCAAAAATACATAAAAACTCAAATATCTGTATTAAAAATTACGAAGTAAATCTTAAACACTTATTTCCTTGAAAAATTTCCAGAAAGGATTAAGCACGATTTAATTCGCAATAATAAATGAAGGCGCTATTTTTGTTGTTGCGAAGCTATGTTTCTCTAGATTGGCAACAAATCCACTACTCTGCTGTTTCAAATGTAAACAAGCAATGGTCGCCATCAAAAAAATTATTAGGCTTAGCGGAACTAAAACAACTTTAAAATTGTTGATAATTCTAAAAATATTGCATATAGATTTACTAAAGGCATAAAAACCTTAACCGGAAGATAAGAACAACATAATTCGATCATTTTTAAAGCAAAAATGTACAATTTACAAACATGTAAGAGTAAAGAAACTGAGATCACTGAGCCGGGTAACAGAGTGGATATATATATAAATATATTTATATATGTTTGGCGCGGCCGATTGCAACCAAAATACGAGGTGCATATCTGCATGTTATAGCAGTCCTATATACAAAATTTCAACGTTCTGAGGCTACTCGTTTTTGAGTTATGCGAGATACGTATGTACGTACATACATGCGTTCGTACAGACGCCACGAAAAATTCTCTTCAGAAGTCATTTTAAAGCAGTTTTATAATTTTTTTGGAGGAAAAGAGTCTTTTATTCTGTCCTTACGTACAGATATCACACAAAAAGATCTTTAAATTGCATTTGAAAGCGGTCAAAATGGATATTTTCGTTGAAATATGCTGCCTGAAGCTTTTCGCGATTACAATACTTCCTTTTTACTTCGTACAAGGAAGTAATAAAAAAAGGAGTTTGAAAGAATATAAAAGTCAATTGTTACTGAGATTAATATAGAGAATTTGGTTAGGTATCGATTTCTTACCTGGAATATCAATGCACAATTTATTGACTCCTCCATAAGCAGGTACTAGGTAAATTAGTCTTCGATTTAAGGCCATTTCACTTCGATTATTTTGAACTGATTTTTCTGTTGAGGCGTCATCCACTTCGATGCGCGCCATTTGCCCAAGAAGCCACTGAATACTGTAATTTTTCGACTGAACAATCTCATCTACTTTCTGCATTTCGTAGCTGATGTATTCCCATTCATTTGAAAATAAACTAAGGGTTAAGAATAATGTAGCTAGAGAGGTCAAGAGAATAGTAACTGATACGAATACGCATGTAAATGTGAACATAGTAAAAGAGGGAAATATTGAGACATATTTGATGAAAACTGATATCAGTATAGGAGTCTTACGAATTTCAAATTCAAGGCAATTTATGCTCTTGTTTTTTGAAGTTATTGTTTTTCGAAGATGAGAATAAGATTTGGAATATGAAAGAGTATTACAGATAAATGATTTTAATGCACCTTTGTATTTAGTGAGGGAGACCGTAATTAATGCTCACATGAATAGAAAGTAATAACTTTGAGCTACAAATTAAAATGTTAGAAATAAGCCTAGAAATTACAATATCACCTCATTGCGATATAATTACGTTAATTTGAAAAAAATTCCTGGAGAAATATTAATACATATATTCAAATGTGGAACAAATTTTTGAATAGTTTCTACGTTAAGCATAGAAAATGCTCTTATGTTCAGGTAATGTCTGTACAAATTTTATCAATGTAATGAATGAAATAATAAAACATATATATATTCTCAATTTTTGTGAAAAAACTTTTGATAATTTTTTATGATGAAGACTCTCTTTCAGGAAGATATCTGTTCAACGCAGACTTTTCGCAAAGACATGATTTTATTAAACTTCCATCAACCCAAGTCTTTGAATACTTAAAATAATTGTAAAATTTTACTACGTTTAACATTAATACATTTTTCTTACATAAATTATTCATAAATCAGATCACATTTGTTCCTAAAATTTGTATTTAATTTACTGTATTAAAAGGTATTTAAAAATTGTATAAGGTCAACAGGCTATACACTTTTTTTTAGATTTCACGAATATTTTATAATGCAGTCCACTTTATTGTTTGAAGAAACACACGTTATTAGATGATCAGTTATTTTGGTCAATAGTATTTAGCATAGTTTTAACTGCTTGGCATACTGATGGGTGCAAGTTCTTCCGTAGAATTCCTGAAAAGAAATGAATATCTCAGCAATCAACACGGTATGAAAGCTTAATAGTAAACATTATTATACATTTATACAATGAAATAAAGATATCAGGATCCAGAAAGTGAGATGTTTAAAATATAAAAATTAGGATTAAATAAGATTACTTGTTTTACTATAAATATGGAAATGTTTTCATTTTATAAAAGTAATTCGTTATAATATAGAAACTTCCAGATGCATATTTATTTTGCTTTATTAGGAATAGAGGATCAGGAAATTATAATAATAACAGAACCCGACTGTTTTCCGCAGCAATCGTCACTATTATTATCACAAGAAAAAGGGAAATAAAGATATTGAAATGCCTATTTTAAAGTAAAGACTAAAGTATAATACTTTATAGAAGCCCCGGATAAGCTTTCTGAACAGACTCTAACCAAGATCCATCCCTTACTGTAGAAAATACTTTAACAAACACGGCCTTAAAAACATCAACTTTATATGTCTCATTGCCGTATTTACTTAATAAACTTTCTCCGATGCCCTTGAACCACTCAAATGGTTCTTCAAAATGAATGTTGTCATGGAAAACGTCTGTTGCTTTCCCACTAGGTGCAATGGGATATATTTTCTATCTTCAAACCTGATAGCTAGCTTCATGAAAGTTCGAATGGCATCTATGATATACTCCAACCTTCCCTCAGGCTCAACAGCTTTTCTTCAACTTGCAACCTTGCATGGGTTAAACTAAATATTGCTTAATCTCCAGGCATTACTGTCAACGGGTGGCAGTGTACGGAACCTGTAGTCCAAAATTGAGGTTTTTCTCCAAGCAGACGGTCAGGAGATTTCCATAGTTTTCTAGAGAAGTAACTTATAAGAAGATTAAAAAAAACCCCATTTTATTATAACGTCAATTTGACAACTTACACAGTTCATGTCATTAACAGAGCAACTTATTGCTTCTTGCAGGATTTAACAGAATATAAATATTAACGGAAAACTAAAGTGATTAAAGTATGCAATTCAGACGGCAAAATTCCACTGTAAGCTTTGGCTGAAACCTTCTCATCACGTAAATAAATGCGGCTAGCGAAAGGTTACAACCTATTATGGCAAATATGAGAGCTGAGCATAAATAGTTTGGAGAAGGTCATTACTCGTTTCCAAGAGATTTTACATATTTCAAGAATTTTGCGCTTCTGTACGTTAACTAATTTGTATCTCAGAAACATCCGACGATGCAGAAGTTGAAAGAACCTTGCCGTGTGATAAACAAGATAAAGATACTGATAATGGCTAGTAAAGATAAATAATTAAGCTAATGACAAGATAATGGATTAGAGTACATAAACCCCTGCAAGGTGCGCAAAAGTACAAAAAAAAAAGTCTGGCCGGATAGTTTTATTGGACAAAGCTGTTGTAATGAAACCGAAGATTTTGCAAAGTATGTGCTACTTGTCAGCGCGTTCGGAAAGGAAACGATACAAAGAAGGTTTCAATGCTCTTAATATCGGTCATTTTTGAAATATTTACTATATTAACTATATTTAGTAAATAAATGTTGATGCTGTAGGTCCGCAGCAAACTTCAACAAGGACTGGAAAAAATATGTGATCAAATCTCTGTGTACATCATCTAAATATTCACATGCTGTTCCTCAGACAGATATTTTTTCAGGAAGTGCAACTGATGTTTTCTTACACACCTTCAGTCTTTTTGGTATCCTAAATTCGATTTAAATGGATCAGGGGACTTCATTTGTCAGTGGTTTGGCAGTGAAATTTTTGGAGCTAGTTTGCATTGAGAATATGAGAAGCTCTTTTATTATGTTTTAATTAATCCCGTTGAATGTTTCCATGAACGCTGTAAAGAATATTAAATGGATACAAATGTCCTAGGAGTTGTTTCTGAATATCAGAAGTATTCACTGGCTCATCTTACGCAATCAGAAACGGTCACATATGAAACTATCTATTTCACGTTATCAGAGCTATTTCATGGCAAAAAAAAAAAAAAAAAAAAAAAACTGACGAACGTTTTCACTCTACTATACGCAAAGAAATAAAGAAATAATATCGTCTGTTAGGTTTTGAAATATGTTAATCGAATGAAAAAATGTCAAGAACTGGCTATTTAATACACGAAAGAAGCTTAACAACGAAGTAAAACATGAACGAAACTCAGTAAAAACACAATTTGGTAAAGGAGATTTAATTATAATTTTTAAATTAAAAATCGACAAATAATTTAGAAGTGCAAAAGTCCTGGATAAACAAAGCAGAAAATTTCAGGAAGCAATTATATTGTGACTTTCGAAGGTCGAAATCAACATTATATTAACATTATATTACAGACAATGTATATAATATTATGTCAAATAGATGATAAAGAAAATAAACACTCTGTTTTTTATTTAAGTTCAAAAATTACTAAATAAAAAAATATTTAAGGAAGGAGTGCGCAGGAAAGCAGCAAGCAACTATAAACTATGCTATAAAAAATTACAGTTTTATTTGGATTCTCATCTAGAGTTTTTGACGTAAACTGATCACAATTCTTTGACCTCGCTACAGTCTAATGTCTCGTTACCTCGCTACAGGTGTAATTCTTGATGGATGAACTTGGCACTCGCGTTACAACTTTATAACTTTAAAATGATTCATCGTAGGGATCCTTCGGCTCACCAGTGGCCGAGTGGTCAAGGCACTGAACACTGGTAATTCGACCTGAGTTCAAATCCCTAGCAGACGGGTTGACTGCTAGGGCGTTTTATTGGTTTTCCCTGTAATAAGAAGAATACGAGCCAGTTTCTCCTAGAAAACCCACCACCAAGGCATCCTTCGCCTTAGGCAATTCATGTGCTTTAACGTAACTGATCAAAGCACAAGGGATCCTTGCGGAAAAATATAAATGTTTTAAAGAGCATCAAGTAATATAATATTTCATGTCTTGCGTAATCAAATTTGGTACCTTTCCGTTTTGCCGGCGCAGGCGATAAAGTCGCCGATAAACGGAATATCCTCGCTGGTAACCTTTTACGCTTCATTTTCAAAACAAGTCACAGACATTTCTTATCAGGTTGATTGGTTCTTTCAATGCTGGCATTACAATTACATAGAATTTTTACCAGATAATAAAATTTTATGCCCTAGGGCCATTCGCCGTAATTAAGTCAATTAGAATACAATCACACCGCTCATCCGAAGGCGAAAATATAGAGAAGGCAAAGTCAAGGTTAAATTCATCAGTTCTAACGAGAATTGAAATAATTCTTGCATTTAAACTTGTATTCCAAATTAAAATGTAACTTGAAATTAATGTAGATAATTACTGAGAGAATTAGATTTTTGTAGCGTAGTTTACGTGAGATTAGATCACTTGGGGTCATGTGATATGAACTGACGAATCAGCTTACTGAACCATGAAGGCATAATAAATTCTTAAATTAATGCCTTTTTGCAAATTTATTGTCTTTATTTATTGGCTTTTTACAAAATTTTAAACGCTATTAAAATGTTTATGCCTTTAAAATAAAACATTCTTAGAACTACCATTTGTTAACTTTTTTATGCGTATACTGTATGTTGTCGCCAATAAAGTCTGCTCGGCGAGATTTGCGCCGGCGAAACAGAAAAGTACCTCAAATTTCTATTTTTAATTTTTTTAATACTATTATTTGATATATAGTAAAATTACGCAATTTAAATATTATGAGATTTCTTTATAATTAGATATTATTTAAAAATGTACATTCAAGTTTTTATTTTGGCCTAGAGTTTAGAAAAGTGTGAGAGAGCTTGCGTTTTTGAAAATTAAAAGAGAAACTTTTATGTCATTTCATGACATTTCGAATGTTACAGAACGTTTCCCTTTGGACACAGCTTCCCGATTGGAGAAAAGGTTGTAACAATGACTTATATGATGCATTTCGGATTCTTGACTAATATTTTTAAGGGTTCTCTGATGAGGAGTAGGGTTCCTAGGAAATTCACCTTTTCTTGTTTAGACTAAGTTCAAGGTCAGCTGGCTGATGCTCAACTTCTTGTGCTTCATAGAAAAAGACAGTGACAGAAGGACAGGGAAAAATAAAACCATCAGTTCGGATGTAAGAATGGAAATGGAATGACGAAAAATATTGCTGTACGTTCTTTAGTAGTCATTTCATTCATTTCACGCATATTTAATTGTGAAAATATTATTACGAATTCTGTATTTAGTTAGCTCGTGTTACGAATTTTGTATTTAGATAGCTAATGTTAGTAGAATTATAATTAAAATTGTTTTATTATTCCATGCAATGCAGCGCGAGACGGGTTTTAAGGTAAAGCGTTGCCAGAAAATTAAAAATACAGGAGCATGTGCATTTAACATTTAATAAATTGATATCTTGGTAATTTATATTTAAATTCAATAAATGTAATTGACTACTGTGTTAGCTGTAACCGAAATTCTACTCCTTTTCTTTCCAGAAATTTCGAGAAGCAGAAAATACTAGAATCTCTCGCGACCGAATTAAAAAAAAAGCCAAAGTTCCCCCCCCCCCGAATTCGGGATTTCGATCGGGTTTGCTTTCTCTTCACATTGCGCTGCATTTTAAAGTTTTGAGTAGTTTAAAGTATAGTTATTGATTATGTTGCGTGATACTGTGAGAATATCTCTGAGGAAAATTACAGCGTTTTATTTTACTTCTTGCGATGAGAATAAATTTTATTAACCTTTTATTGGCCTTCTGCATTCAATCTATTTATGAACCAATACATCTACTTTAATAAGATAGTAAAACTTTTAAAAATTAAAAATATTTTCGAAAAATTTATAAAAATTACTATAAAATGCAAATTTAAAAAACAAATCAGAAACTGTGTGTGAAATTTATTTGGATTGAACAAATTGTGAAAGAAAGAATCAAGAAAGTTTAATAAAAAAAAGAGATATGAAAACACTTATACCAAATTCAATTAACATCTAGAGGACCTAAAATTTTGAGAGATTTTTTAAAAACTGCTCTCGCAATT